CATCATTTCTGAGCCCCTTCAATGCCAGGTTGGAACCTGGAAGTCGCCTTCAATATATTTTTCATAGCATTTTTCAGCTACTCCAAAACTGGGGTCATCTATGGGTCCTGCGGCCACCAGTTGCTTTTTCTCTTAATTATGAAGTCACATTTTTCTCCTTTTCTGAATGTCTTGTATTTTTTCACTGGACAAGGTATGTAGAATAGTAGAAATGAGATAGCAAATGTTTAGTCTTATACAAGGGCACACTTGACAGAAGAATGCTACTTTATGCCGCTGATAATAACAATCATGTTCCTAATGTGGGAGTGAGCATACCAAAATTTTAGAATATTAAAAACCTTTAAAATCTTCCCTCAAAGTTTTTAGATGGTCGGCTTTAGTAAAGCAAAACAATTAGAAAAACATCTAGGGATGCCTGGGTGGCTCAGTCAGTTGAGCGTCCGACTCAATTTCAGCTCAGGCCATGATCCCAGGGTCATGGCATCGAGCCCCATATCAGGCTCTGCACTGGGCGTCAAGCATGCTTGAGGTTCTCTCTCTCTTTCTCTCTCTCTCTCTCTCTCTCTCTCTCTTTCTGTCCCTCTGCTCCTCTCCCCCACTCCTGCATACTCTCAAGAGAAGAAAGAAAGAAAGAAAGAAAGAAAGAAAGAAAGAAAGAAAAAGGAAACCATCTATAAATCACATAAGCCTGCATACTCATGAAACAGGAAGGATACAGATGATAAACCAGAAGTTCAATGATAGGACTAAACATACAGATTTGGCTGGACTCTCCAACTTGTGTTCCTATGAATTATCTTACATTTAAACTCTGCTATGTAGAGGTCCATCTAGAAAAAGGAGAAATGAAAAACAATCTAAGTCATAATTACTTCTATAATGCCTGTAAGGAAGTATTTCTGATATTTCAGGTCAAATGATGTGTCCGCAAAGTGCTTGAATTCCTAACAATCCTGCCTCTCGGGAGAGGGGCCTCTTACACTTGCCTCCAATTTGCTGACAGAACTTTTATCTCATAGTTTTCCTAAGTATACATTGCTCATCTCCCTTCACTGGCTTTCTGTTTGAGTCCACAAGAAATGCAAACATTTACCTCAGTTTGAAGCATTAAAATTTTTAAAGTTCTTGCTGTTTCTTCCAGTCAACCTCTATCCAGATACAGCAGTACGTACGTTTTCTCCTAAAATAGCCTTTTAACCCTGGCCTTACACTGCATGGAAATGTACTTGTGATCTATTTCTTGTACCTACTGCATTTGGGTATCTCCCCTTCCTCCCCCATATCCTCCTACAAACATCTTAGAGATCTATTTAGTGCATGCCTTCAAAATATTTAGATCTCTATTCTGAGTAGAACTGCACTTGATATAATCAATTAATCTAACTCCAAATTTTATTTTATTTTATTTTTTTTTTATTTTTTTTTATTTTTATTTTTTTTAATTTTTTTTTTCAACGTTTATTCATTTTTGGGACAGAGAGAGACAGAGCATGAACAGGGGAGGGGCAGAGAGAGAGGGAGACACAGAATCGGAAACAGGCTCCAGGCTCCGAGCCATCAGCCCAGAGCCCGACGCGGGGCTCGAACTCCCGGACCGCGAGATCGTGACCTGGCTGAAGTCGGACGCTTAACCGACTGCGCCACCCAGGCGCCCCTCTAACTCCAAATTTTAGATCTGATTAGATAAACCAAAGGTGAGCAAGCCCTTAAGGTAGTATTTTTTTAATCTTTTTTTTATATTTATTTATTTATTTATATTTGAGACAGAGAGAGAACAAGTGGGGGAGCAGGAGACAGAGAGAGAGAGAGAGAGAGAGAGAGGGAGAGAGGGAATATCCAAAGTGGGCTCCAGGCTCTGAGCTGTAAGTACAGAGCGCCACACAGGGCTCAAACTCACAAACCATGAGATCATGACCAGAGCCAAAGTCAGACACCTACCTGAGAGCCACCTGGGTATCTCCCCATTAATAGGTAGTATTTTTTATGCTGATCTAGCATTTGGTTTGATATGAAACAGTATGCATCACAAGGATTATTAGTAAAAATATTAATCATTTATTAAAATCTTTGAGAAGTCAACAGATCTCCTTTCTCATTCATGCAATTACCTGAAACACTGAAATTAACAGAAAAATTGATTTTGTAATAATTTTTTTAATTAATTTATTTAATGTTTATTTATTTTTGAGAGAGAGAGACAGAGCGTGAGCAGGGGAGGGGCAGAGAGAGAGGGAGACACAGAATCTGAAGCAGGCTCCAGGCTCTGAGCTGTCAGCACAGAGCCTGACATGGAGCTCGAACTCACGAGCTGTGAGATCATGACCTGAGCCGAAGTCGGATCCCCAACCGATTGAGCCACCCAGGCAGCTGATTCTGTAATAAGTTTTTAAAGGAGAGGTATATTTAAAATGAATGGTGTCTCAAAAAAATTTTTTAATACCAAAAATAACCGGAGATGTATATACTGGTTTATACAAGAATTTATGATAGTGTCACCCCTTAACAAAGAAACAATTTATATGTCCAACAGTAGAAACATGGTTAAATAATTATGGTATATCAATATAATAATCTCTAGCCATTAAAAACTATGTCCTAGAAGAATCAACAAAGATGCTTACTATATATTGAGTACAGGCTACAAAACCATATGTATAATAAGATACAGTTTTTATGAAGATGTATACAAGGCATTACCGATTACCTTCTCTGGTTAATGAAAATTTTGCAATTTTTTTTTTCCTGTGTGCTTTCCTGTGCTCTGTAAGTTCTCTGTATTATCTCATTAATGCCATCTAATACAAGCAAAAACCTTGGGGTGGGGGGTGCTGCACTAAAGGTCTGATCCCTTTCTTTGTGACATCCTGGGAGGCTTCTTCAGATGGGAAAAGAAAGACCATTATTATCACAAGAACAAAGAGAAAAGAAGTAGTAAAAAACAGCCTAGAGGTATTAAAGAGGGTTTATGTCATCCTTGGCACAAATGTCCTATATTCCCATGTCCTTTTTAATGCAAATTATATGAAAATTACATTATAATATCAGTAGGAATTTGATTGCAAGATACTGTAATTTTAATTGAGCAACTAGCTGATAGGAACAAGAGTACTCAGATTATTAATCAAGCAAAATGGTGAAAAAGCACTGATTTAATTGCTACACTAAACTGTCATTATTTGAAGGAAAAAAAAGTCAATATTCCATAGTTAGAAAACCAAGTAACACACTATTAACCAAAACTGTTTAAAAAAACATTTTTTTTAACGTTTATTTATTTTTGAGACAGAGAGAGACAGAGCATGAATGGGGGGAGGGTCAGAGAGAGAGGGAGACACAGAATCAGAAGCAGGCTCCAGGTTCTGAGCTGTCAGCACAGAGCCCGACGCAGGGCTCGAACTCACGGAGCGCGAGATCACGACCTGAGCCGAAGTCGGACGCTTAACCGACTGAGCCACCCAGGCGCCCCTAACCAAAACTGTTTTAAATAATGGCTTCCCTGTCTCCTCCCACTTCCCCCAGATCACTCCTATTAGAAGTCAGGAACACACAAAAGAAAAAAAAAAATCTGAAAATTACTAATTCTTTATTGGAGAAAGCTTTGATCTTTTAAGTATAAGGCAATTCAAGTTACAAATCTGCTCTTGCATTTCTATGACTGTTCTTAAACTCATTACAATAATCAATATTTTCTCATTGAAAAGATTTCAATCCCCTGAAAAGCCTGGTTAAAAAAATCTAGGGCTGACAAAATTTCTCATCCTTTAAAGTCAAGTGTCTCATCTGGATATAATGGGAACATGGTACTTGGTAAAAACCTATAGATTTCCCAGAAGTTATGCAGAATTTTAGGGGCTTCAGAGGTCTAGTTGGTATCCAGGACCATATTCTTTTCTTGATTATGCAAAGTCAGTGATATCTGCATGATGCTGAACTGCCCCAGACACGTGATGAGAATCAGAATGATCTGGTGAAACAGGGCCTGGATTTCTAAGTTTTCCTTTTTGGAAAAGAACAACCAAATTCCTGTGGACTCCTGGTCTGTTCTTCCTCCCTTGCACCTACTGGAGAATCAGTTACCCTGGACCATCGCAGAAGGTCGCCCAGGGCAAGTCTCTGCTGTTCAGGCGCATAGGAGTGTGTGTGGGGTCGAGGCAAATCCTTCAAGTTCCCATGGGACTCTGCCCACCGTGGCCTTTGTAGATGGAGTCCAGCCTCTCTCTATATGGTTCATGAGAAGTTCAGGTGATGTTATCACCTGCTCCTAACCTGGGGAACCCCCACGAGGGGTGGTCATGGCGTGTGGGACGGTGGGTAGGGAAGCAGGGAAGATTAAGACTTATCTGGGCCTACTGCCTAATGGGATAAAAAAATAGATTCCTTTTTGACTTTACCTTGGGAATTAATACTCAGTAGAAGACTTTTTTTTTTTTTTAGAAGACTTTGAATGACAGATTCATGCATTCCTAAAACTTCATTTTATTTTTTATTTTTTTAATTTTTTTTTTCAACGTTTATTTATTTTTGGGACAGAGAGAGACAGAGCATGAACGGGGGAGGGGCAGAGAGAGAGGGAGACACAGAATCGGAAACAGGCTCCAGGCTCTGAGCCATCAGCCCAGAGCCCGACGCGGGGCTCGAACTCACGGACCGCGAGATCGTGACCTGGCTGAAGTCGGACGCTTAACCGACTGCGCCACCCAGGCGCCCCAAACTTCATTTTAAAAATACCTGATGAAGGATTACAAAATTAGAAAATAACATAAAAACGTAATTTTTAAATTCTGATTCTTCCTAGCAAGTTTAGACCATAAAAAATTAGATAAAAAAATATCTCCTGTCATATAGTTTGACTCCGTGCAAGCCCCCCACAAAATGGAGTCACCCCAAATGGAGTGGTCATTTATTACACGTGTGAGTGCTAGAGCATCATCATAGTAAGTGCATATGCTTCCTGTTCTATGACATCACCGCCAATTATATATGCTTTTAAAATTCCACGCAGGTACCAAGTCGATTTTATTCGCTGTGCGTGGCACCTAGGGGATCCCGAGTGAACAATCACTCATGAATAAATCACTGGTAACCGACAACGTGCTATTCTACTACCAGTAAGTAACTAGGTGTATTCGTTTCCTACGATTACATCCTTGGCGTACGTATCACTATAGTCCCCTTTCCGGCAGTCTCTTTGGGCCGCAAGCATGGATCACGAGGAAGGGGAAGGTAGCAGGTGTGCTCTGAGGATGCCCGACCACTGCCCCCTGAACCGGAGGGAAAGCTCCCCTGCGCAGGTGTAGGGACAAGGTGCTCCCTCCGCCAGGCTGCGACCTGCGGTCTCTCTCCCAGTCAGCTCCTGTTTCTGCCCATGCTTTCTGCCTGCCTTCACCAGCTGGCTTCCTCTGCCTTCTCTTAAACTCTGCCCACAACCCCAGCTTCGGCTTGTGGGTGGCCATCACTGCTTTGGTCCTGGGGGACACTTCAGCAGCAGGTCCCATAATAACCTAGCGAGCTCGCCGTGTTTCTTAGGTCAAACTTTCTGCAAGCATAGGGCTGACCTGGCTCATCGTTTCAATGCGGATACACGGTACCAGATTCTCTAGATCACACTGCCAGGGCACACTCCAATCATCATCTCTGGGGGGATTCCTAGCACCTTGTTTTAAAGCTCCCCAGGTGATGGGGCGCCTGGGTGGCGCAGTCAGTTAGGCGTCCGACTTCAGCCAGGTCACGATCTCGCGGTCCGTGAGTTCGAGCCCCGCGTCGGGCTCTGGGCTGATGGCTCAGAGCCTGGAGCCTGTTTCCGATTCTGTGTCTCCCTCTCTCTCTGCCCCTCCCCCGTTCATGCTATGTCTCTCTCTGTCCCAAAAATAAATAAACGTTGAAAAAAAAAAAAATTTAAAGCTCCCCAGGTGATTCTAGCAGGGACAGGGCTGGGACCCACTGGGGCAGCCTAACTAAGGCTGACTGTCCTTGAGGCCGGTTGGTGCCCATCCCTGAGTGGATTAGGTGGGTGCAATGAAACCTAGCAGTCAGAAGTCTGAAAGGGATGTCACTGGGCTAAATCAAGGTTTTGGCAGCGCTACGTTCATCCTGGAGGCCCCAGAGGAGAATCTATCTCCTGGTCTTTTCCACCTTCCAGAAGTGGCCCGCGTTCCGCGGTTTACGATCTCTTCCGCCATCTTCTAAGCCGGCGACGGCTGATTCAGTCTTTCTCACATCACATCGCTCTGATGTGGGCTGTTCCACCTCCTCCTTCCACATTTAAAGGAACCCTGGGATGGCACTGGATAATCCAAGCTAACCTCTTTTTTTTTTTTTTTTTTTTTCAATGTTTATTTAATTTTGGGACAGAGAGAGACAGAGCATGAACGGGGGAGGGGCAGAGAGAGAGGGAGACACAGAATCGGAAACAGGCGCCAGGCTCCGAGCGGTCAGCCCAGAACCTGACGCGGGGCTCGAACTCCCGGACCGCGAGATCGTGACCTGGCTGAAGTCGGACGCTCAACCGACTGCGCCGCCCAGGCGTCCCGCTAACCTCTTTCTTAAGATTAGCTGATTAGCAACCTTCATTTCCTCATCATGTCACATAGCGTATCCACAGGTTCCGAGGATTAAGACGCAGACATCTTTAGAGGGGCCGTTCTCATTCTGCCTCCATGAGCAGACTACGGGGAACAGAACATAGTACATGTGGGGTTTGCTTACAGACGCCATAAACACGACCAACAACACGATGCTGAGTGTTATTACAGCATGAGATGCAGCCTGACTACTAAAACGTCAACGATTTATGCTGGTTTCCGTCTTTTATACTCTACGTCAATAGACATTCCAGCCGTAAAAACAAGAGACCAGAGTGTTCTTACAAAAATATTATGAATTCAAGCAGAAACATTTCTAGCCTTCGATAATTTACCAGCTATTTTCCTGTAATTATACCAATTTATACATTTTATCAACAACCGCTACTCAAAATCAATTGTAATTAGTTTAGATTCCGAAAGATACCTATTTCAAAACAGATTTTAAGTAATTTTCAAGTTACTTTTGCCTCAGCCAATGATTATAGATATATGAAAAATATAACAACACTGTACAATTCTTTTAAACAAAAAATACTTCTCCAGAATGTTTCTTCTTCAAAATTTAAATAAAATTACTTGAGTGTTTTTATTTTTTTTTAATGTTTATTTATTCATTTTGAGAGAGAGACAGAGAGAGAGAGACAGCAAGCGAGCACCCGGGGGAGGGGTACAAAGAGACAGAGAGACAGAGAGAGAGAGACAGAGAAAACCCAAGCAGATTCTGTGCTGTCAGCACAGAGCCAGACACAGGGCTCAAACCCATGAACTGCGAGATTGTGACCTGAGCCGATATCAAGGGTCAGACACTTAACCAACTAAGCCCCCAAGGCACCCCAGAAAGTACCTGAATGTTCTTAAAAAGCATATTTCTATGCTTGAGGCTACCAGTAGGTGGAATTATGGAGGATTTTCTAATTATTAACAGAGCTTCTGGAACATTTTACTGTGAAAACCCGTCACCCAAATGCAGTGTAAACCATCTAAACCAAAAAGGAGTGGGACAAAGTAAGATAACAAGATCGTGTTATAAATGTAAGAGTTAAGGGGAAAACATTCTGACTTCAAGAAACTTTGAAGGAAAATGCATTTTCGTGAATATCTGAGTCTTAAGAAATGAACTATTTCTTGGGCGTTTCACCTTCATATTCAAAATGAAAATAACAGAAAGTCCTTTCTTCCTTATATTTGCTTGTGTTTATATACCTGCACATGTAATACATACACAGTGTCGTATATGTAACAGTTTATCTGTTGACCTCAATTTGGAAGTTGGTATCTGCATTTTCGTAAGTGAAAATCAGCAAATCTCATTACTTTTTGGCTTTAATCGTCAATTCACTTGGAGCATTAGTTCATCAACAAATACTTGAGCACCTACTCTGTGCCAGGCATGTTACAAGTGTTAACAAGTTTTTAATTTATCCCGTTAAAAAGAAAAAAATCAGTCCTGTCCAAGCTTAACAAAGTAATTCACATTTTTTAAAAAAGTACCAATCATTTAATCCTCATTTAATAAGAACCGACACTACTTTGAATCCATAATTCGGTCTTATCTAACAATCTGTAAAAGGGTCAATTTGAACTTTACGTCTTCAGCACATAAAGTTGGTATCGTAAGACCAGTGAGTTATTTCACTCTGGGAAAATCGGGAGGGGGTGGGGGTGGGCTGTGCTGACGTTAAAGTTCGTCACATGCCATCGGTAATCAGAAAAAAGTGTTCTAGACAGAAGATGACTTACTTAGACTGCTGAGCTGGCGTATGATAGCAGCAAGGGTACTGTTGGTTACACATTCAAGTTCACTGGTAATCCCCTCCGGCAGGGCTCCCCGGCACAAGTGCCGGGGCTCGATGTTCCTCTTCACTAAAGGCATGGCTCACGATCTGAAAATCAAAAAGACATTTTTTTTAAAAGCTCACAGTCACATTTTAAGAAACTTAAGAGTTTTCATTATCCTTTCTACGTGAGACAATCAGCTAGAAACACAGCAGATGTCGAATTAATTACATAAAAGTTTATCGATTGCCAAGATATATTTAGCATACAACTCGACTTTTATAGAAAGATAATGTAAGCAAGATTTCCAGTAAAGTATGAATGACTGAATGCATGCATTTATACTTTCCCTCCCTCTCTACTAACATGATGAGAGATCAAAAAGGCATAAGCCCAGAAGTGCTAAGGGCAGGAAAGGACACAGCGGTCCCAAACTGGACAGAGCCTAATCAGATGAAGACACAGACAAGGCCATACCCTGGAGGCCAATGAAGGGAGAAAGGAAGTGAGTCCACCTGCCCATCTTCCCCAACAACAGCTCAGGAACAGAAGGTGACACGTATGCATGAAACGGACAGAGGTGGGGGAGCAGGGGATGGCTTCCCAAGTGGGATAAGCTAATGAACTAGGTGAACCACAAGGATCTACACGAAGGAATATGACAACAGGAGGACTAGCTTTTAAAAATCCATTTACAAATTCCTTCTCCCTTCCTGGGCTGCCTCCACTCCACCCTACCCGGCATGTTTTACTTTCTGGTGAACTCCAGGATTTGGACTTGAGACACAAAGCAGAGCTAAAGGTTGGGGTAGGAAATGCACTGAGACCAGGGGTATTCAATCAAAGTCTACACTGAACGTAAGACGGGGCTTCTCCCTACACCCTCGTTCCCTGGCTGGCTTCTCCACGTGGCTCCCAGAGCCCTGGCAGCCTGGTTTTCACTCCCACCCAAAGAGACCGGGACATCCCTCCCTGGGAATACTGGAAGAGAGATCTACAAACATGGGACACTGGGCCAGGGCTTCCCCCTACGGAAAATGCCAACCAGGTCACCCACCAGTTACACCTGCCAATAATCTCTCCCCGCGCAATTCCCACATAGCTTTTAATGCCCCGGACATAAGAATGCACAGTGAAAGATCACCAGACACTTCAGGAAAGCTTTCCCCAATGTGGGGAAACCTGGGAATCCTTTTCACTTCTCTCTGCAAAAAGTACATTATAAATAACATGAAATCTCAACATTTTGTTTAAGGAGGCATATAGAGTTTCAAACCTGCTACTTAGACAACCAACCTACCGCTCATACGACAGTAGAAAATCCAGTGACTGGGACATAACCGTTATTTTGACAGGATCATCATATTGGCCCACTTGGAGGTACAGAAACACAAGAGCCTAGGATGTTGGTCAGCGGTCAAACATGCCCTGAAGTGCCAATCTGGAATTCTTGTTACGGGAGACAAATAACATCCTATTTGTTTAAACCACCGTAGTTGGGCTTTCTGTTACCTGGTGTGAAACTTACTTCCAACTGGTACAACTGAATGGTACCCTGTACCTAAAGATCCTGGAATGTGGTAAGCATATAATAAATCTTTGCCTTTCTTCCTCCTTTCTTTAAAACTTTTGCTCATACATCTAATAAATACTTACAGAGCACCTACCACCTACCCGGCGGTGTAGGAGGTTGACGATCCAATGGGGAGTCAAAGCAGACAAGGAACCCCCCTTCCCATTGAAGCTCTATTCTACGAGGGAGAGAGACATTGACCCGACCGCGCAGGTTAATGAATTCGGGGTTAGAAAACCGTTTGTGGGGTCAGGGCGCTCAGCTGTCTAGAGTCACGGACAAGCTCCTGTGGACGCGGGACCTGAAATCTGAAGGGTGAACAAGGGTCCTGTGTGGTAATGTGGAGAACGAAGCAAAGGAAGGCGAAAGGGGGTGAGAGCTGTAAAGGAAAAGTTCTGTCCAATTATCCAACGTTTAATCGACTATTTCTGCCTTATATCCATGAAGGTGGTCGTTCAACACACTGACCCTATTTTCAGATTCAAATACCACTCCCATTGACGCAGGCGCAATGCCTACAGCACATCCCTTCACCTCTCTGTGCCTGTTTCCTCCCTGTAAAATGGGGAGAATATAGCAGTCCCTACCTTAGAGAGTGCGAATCTAATGAACGATTACATATATTAATCATTTAGAACAGCCTGAACTGTAACAGCACTAAAAGAAATGTGACTGATTATTAATTTAATGACATCTTATATGTTGTTATAATGTTAACTATTATTTCTATCATACTAGTAAAAGGAGCGGTTTACTAGCCGACGATAAGGCTGAACCACAAAAGATAACAATATTCGCATGGAAATTATGTGAAAGAAGATGTACACACTCAAGGAAGGAATGCTAAAATATGAAAATTCTAGAGGTCCAAGTCTCAAGGCAAAAAACAGAAGATTTACTGTGAGTTGTCATTTCTTTCCGGAACCACATTAGAACAACAGGACAGGATGGTAACTAATCACAATAAAATGAACTAGAAAGCCAGAATTTGTCATAAGGGAAAAAGAGAAAACTCATTAACAAACTTAATAAAAGCATAGGGTGTGGGAAAGAAAACTACTGAAAACGGGGACTCACTCCAGGAAAGCGAGAAGGAAATTAAGCAACAAAAACCATGATATCCATAAAGAAGCACGGAGCGATCGGGGGTGGGGGGGGGAGAGGGATGTGGTGGCAAAAGCTTCTAAGGACGGCACAGATAAGCTAGCGAACTGGATGTTCTTAGAAGACTGAATTCGCGGGCAGCCTGCTTGTAACGCCGATTTGTGAAACTGGCCCAAGTGTGAATTAGCTTTTAAATAATTTCTCAAAAGAGGGATTTATGAGAGTTTGGGGTAAATGTAAGATTTAGGAGCTGAAGGCTACGCATGTAACAGGCCCCTCCTGCACATTCGTTCTGTGTTCATCCAGGATGAAATGTCACTCTTTACTCGTATTTTTCAGCCTCTGACATGCCCAGCAACCTTCCCGGTACACCTCCCCCGGCCTACCACCATTATCTCTTACGATTTATTCAAATGCACAGAAATCTAATCATCCACGTATCACAGAGGTCCCACCAACATGTCCGAAACACGGCCACAGCTAGTTAATACCTCCCTCCCCTCTTTCCCTGGGCTGGGTCCCCAATATCGGATATACCTGCCATTCATCAGGGCATATGTGGGAGCTACCACTGGCTGTTTCGAGGGAATCTTGAAAACGCGCACAGAATTTTCCCAATGTTCTCAGTCAGAGGTGCTCACGGCCCACTCTGATACCCCACCCCCCCTGCCAAAGGCCCTCAGTTTCGTATTTAAGACAGCCCCCTCTTGTGTTCACGCAGTGAACTGTTGGCTCAACACGGTGGGTCACGGGAGGCTCCATGGGTACTGCGGCCTCACCGAAAGGGCTCACCTAGAGGCTTGCTTAAGGCGTTATTAGGGCACCAAAGAAAAAAAGCTGAAGTCTAAGCGGGTGCAGTACCCACATCTTTTATTTCTGCATTCTGATGCTTTGACATCTTGGAGCCAGATGGAGGTCCCTGGAGGCATCGGTCCTCCGGGGATTAGCCAATTCCTAGAGCTGGTAAACTCACCCAGGGGCTCGCCTCTCGTATGCAAACCTATCAACCCACAGCCCGCACCTCCTCTATCCGCTCTCACACCCCACGCCACCGTCCAACTGCCCCAGTCACCCCAGGACCAGGTGCCAGACAACCGGGGACAACATTACGCCCCAAAGCCTGCTGAAATGACTCCAAGTAGCCAATCCCAAACCTGCTCAGCCTGCCTTATCCATCCTTCCCCACAGAAACCGCGATAAAGGCTCTCCATGCCAGCTTCCTCTTTCGCTCTGTCTCCAGGTACCCCCCAAACCCGGTGCTTCCCCCCACGCAGTCCCCTCATCTTGGGATCTGTAACATTTACCTTATGGTATCACCTCCTGATCTGCCGGCCAGCCCGTATGCCACCTTTTCGATTAGCATACTGTATTTAAAAAAAAAAAATTTTTTTTAACGTTTATTTATTTTTGAGACAGAGAGAGACAGAGCATGAACGGCAGAGGGGCAGAGAGAGAGGAAGACACAGAATCGGAAGCAGGCTCCAGGCTCTGAGCCATCAGCCCAGAGCCCGACGTGGGGCTCGAACTCCCGGACCGCGAGATCGTGACCTGAGCCGAAGTCGGACGCTCAACCGAATGAGCCACCCAGGCGCCCCAGCATACTGTATTTTAAGACAACAGGGAAGTCTGAGAAGGATTCCAAGGAAGCAACATGGCAGCGATGTATCTGTGTCCCTGCTTACCAATGCAAGCGAACTGCAGGAGTCTACATGCCTGGCCCCAGGCTAGGACTTCCTCCCGAAGTGGACTAGAAGCTTTCTGAATTCAGGGACTGAGCCTACAAGTTCTGTGTTTCCCACACCGACTTCCAGGGTCCCCAACACAACCCGAGCATTGAAAAACCGTCTGCTGGTTACACGCCGACACGTGTCGGCAGACACGTCTCTGTTTGGCCCTCTCCTTGGGCACTGTGTGTGTTGCTGTTCCAGTATTTCAGCTCTAATGAATCCCAGCCTTCACTTCTCACGGTCGTTATACGTCTCTTTGGCACCCCCACACTTGTCTAAATACGAACGATACAACAGGGGGAGGAAATGCTACTCTCCTCTCAACTTTAGAAAAATGGCTTTGTAGTTCCTTTGGAAAGTTCTAATTACCTAGCAATGACTGTCATGACTTCCCGATTCAGGGTGAAGTACCCTAACACGTGAATTTTCCCCCGGCCGGCCTTTATTTTATCTGACACTAATCCAGTTTTGAATACACTGAACGGCAGGGTAGAGGTAAAGGGGAAAACGCTGGGTCACTCATTACTCTTGAAAATGCTCTGCAACGACAAAAACGGACACGTAATGAACTAACCCAATTAGTCACCAACAAATCACTTAAGTATGCCTCTCGATTCCTTCGCTTGAAGAAGTAGGATGCATCCGGAGCATTCTTCAAAGTCATCCTGTGCACTAAGAAAAAAAATCAAAGACTGCTAATCATACATTTATGGATTATTAGAGGTTACGTAAGGTATTGCTATTAAACCTGTAGTTCGCCCAACCTTTCTGGGAAATGTTTCAATTTAGAGACAGACAACCTGGTTCACATAACCGTGAACTAGATTCCAGACGCGGCTGAAAGCAGGCCAGAGCCCTTCCCTGGGAATTCGGAAGTGGGACCCCACACCCAGCTCAGCTGCTGCTCTCTCGAACAGCAGGCATGGGTAACCCCTCCGCCACAGGAGGTGGAGACTGCCACAGTCACGGCCAAGAAATGAGAATAAAGTCCCAGACAAACTGGCAAAGACAAGAGGCAGACAAGGATACCACAGGGCTTTGCCCAACCCTCCTCAGAATGCACGGCCAACGAGGAGAGGACACTTCTACCCAACCCCCCACTTCACTGGGGCGGGGGGGGGTCAGGCTTGCATCCCGGTCTGATGCCTCTTCTGGCCTCTTCTCGCTTCCTCTCTTTCCTTCCACACCACAGTTCCCGTAACCAAACCCTCGCAGGTATGACCCCATCTTGATGGCTTTCTCTCGAGGACCCAGACAAATAGGAGAGGCTCTGGGAGTGGTTTAAGAAAAAGGGGTAGTAATCCAGGGATACGGGCCTCGTGCACAGACCACTGTGCAGGGGAGGAGGCGGCCGTCTTGAAAGCGCAGGCGTGAAGAGTCCCGCCACAAGACTGGTTCACCTGCTACGGGACTGAGCCGTAAGTGACCTGGAAACTGTCCGGTGGAGGGAAATGCCACGACAGGAATAACAGTGTGGACCCGTGGAAGATCCAGAAGGTAAAAAACATCTACAACAGCAGCAGGGTTGGCCCGTGGCTGCTAGCCTGCACTGATGGCCTGCGTAAGGGTAATGAGGGACCGAAAGCTGTGAACAAGCAGTCAATGGCTAAGTGAGAGAACACCGGAGCCTTCCTGGTGGGTGTAAACCGGTCCTCATCGGTGACCCGTAGTGACCTGAAATGGAACTGCGGACTGGACTGCGTGACAGCTACAGAACTCAAGATGTTCGAATGCTCGGTCAGAGCATTCTGTTAGTATGCAGATCCAGGCTGCGGTTTTCAGGGATCCTGAGAACTGGAACACGGGACTCCTGACGGATGCCCATGAGGATGCTGGGTGCACCACCCCCCAGCTCCCTCCGGAAGTGGTCAGCACACCACTGGGGGATGCCGCACAGGCCTCGCCCCCACGGCTGGCAGGTGACCCATGCGGGCTGCACACGTCCCTTCCCGCGTGCCAGCGGGGGAACTGGTGCCGGGCCTGGCGGGGGAGACTGACATCAGGCAGCCCGGGGAGGACAAGCAAGCGGTGGGTGGCTGTGCCCCAGAGACACAAGCTTCGGGGGGAGCGTGGAAGACAAAGC